AAGGCTCGACATCCCCAGACCTGGAACACCGACGCATCGCCAACCTCCCCCGTCCAACGCAGTGTGGGCGAGGTCTCCGGCAAGGAGACACGGGGCCAGAGGTTGAGCTGATGCGCAGCGTACTGAATTGCAAACGGCCACAGAAAATGGGGGGCAGCCGCATGGATCATGGAGGTACGAACGACCTCCATGACTAAGCCAATGCGGCGCTCAGCAACCCCATTATGCTACGGAGAGGCCGGAAGCGTGAACGTCTGGCAAATGCCCTCCGCACGACAAAAGGCCCTCAAGAGGTTGGATGAAAACTCACCACCTCTGTCAGAGTGCAGACGCAGGACGGAAAGGTCCGTCTCGAACCGCTCGCGGAGCTGGAGACAAACATCGCGGATCCAAGGGGTCAGAACATCAAGGACCTCCCACTTGCGGCGCAAGGGGAAGACCGTGGTGTAACGCGTGTACTCGCCGACAACTAGCAGAAAGTACCGCTCGTTGCCCTGTCCACGGACGCGAGCTGGGCCCCACACGTCCAGGTGAAGAGTCTGCAGGGGAGCCTCTGTCCGGGGAACGAGGAGGAGTGAGGAGCGGCACGCTGCTGCCCCTCGACATAGGGAAGGCAGGGAGGGGCAGGCGAGGGTGGGAGGGGAGATAGAGACCTGGGAAGACCAGAGAGAAGGAGAGGGGAGTTGCTGCCACGGGGGCGTGCCACAGAGGGGTGACCAAGGCGGTGGTGCCAAAGGAGCGTCTAGTGCGACAGGGCGCGACACGAGCAGGGGGCCGCAAGCTAACCTAACACAGACGCAGACGCACCTACCTGAGGAGACGCAGTATTCAGTGTGTACAGACTCGACCCAGGCTGACGGGTGAACGTGGCCAGGTGGCGGCTGGTCCGGGAGAACGTACAGATCGCCACACGCTGCCGTCCAGGAGTGAAGATGTCAACCCCCGCATCCTAGAGGAAAGCAGTGCTCACAGAGTTCATAGAGAACGAGGGGAGGTGGAACCCTGACAGTGACCCGGACGCGACTGCCGAACAAGGCATAACAGTGGAGGAACGTGCAAGGATTGGGCCCCCAGAGGGGTCAGCCAAAGAGACAGCAACAGGTGCAGAGAGCGGTGTGACTGTGGTACTGTACTGCCGCGAAAGAAACAGCAGGAAGCACTTGAGTCAAGCATGAAGGTATGAAGGGCCGTAACAGACGTAGTATCATAGAGAACAGACTCACCAACACCTAGAGCAGCAGACTCACTAGCACCTAGAGCAGCAGCCTCTATACCTGGGTCTGGCGGCATACACAGGTAACAGTCACCCTCAACTAACAGTCAATGCATACATGGCAGATATGATAGCATCAAAGTCTAGAGCAAAAATATCCACACCCTAATTAACAGCTCTGCCTAGTGAGGGAGCTCAGGCGCGTTTGGAAACTATGCGCGAAAGGCATCGGTAAGACGGGAGAAGCAGCGGTGCTACGTGTGAGGCTGTCCGCATGTCTGACTAGTGAGGTCACCCGTGCGAATGACATACGGGCAGCGACCTCCACCCCCAACCGCCCCACGCTGAGCAAACCACTCACGGAGCTCCTAAGACGAAAGGGGCTGACGCTGCTGCTGCCTCTGGCCACCTCCGAGGCCTCCCCTCTGGCTGGTAACCACCCCGACCGCCACCACTCCCGCCGCCTCCACCCCCACTGCCGCCACCACCGCCGCCTCCACCACTCCCACTACTGCCACCACCGCCGCCACCTACACCTCCACCCCCACCATCACTACCTACTCCACCGCCGCCCCCTCCACCTCCTCCACCGCACCCACCACCGCCTCCACCTCTGCCACCCCCAACACTCCTGCCTCCCTTGCCCCTGCCGCTGCGGCGCCTCCCACTGGGGGCAGACGCGGCTCCTACCTCCTCAGCACGAAGGTAGTCAACAGCTGCAGAAGAGGCGATTGAGAGGAGAAGGGGGGAGGGCGTGCACCCCTCAAAGAAGGGAGTGCGAGGAGTGCCACAAGAAGCGCCTACAGCGACTATGCTAGTCTCAGCTGCTAGGAGGTGCTTCTCGACCAGATCGACAGTGAAGTCGGTGGGGTCAAGGGCGAGAAGGAGGTACGTAACATCTGGACCGTCAGCCGATGGCATCTGACAGCAGTAGTGACGAGGCGTGTGTCCAGATAGCTTCGTAACCGTCTGGAGTCGCATGATTAAGTTTTGCTGCAATAAATGAATGTACCCTGTAGAGTACATGACTAGCTAGGTCGTTTCGTATTCCATTCTGTACTCCTATTTATATCTTTGTATTTGCATGTTTTATATATCTCAATTATTTTAAATCCACTATGAACTGAGGCGAAGGGCCCACCACCACCACCAATCAGTTGTGTACGAACATTTCTGAGGATATCCGGTCGATCAACATCTGATCCCAGCACCCATTCACAAGAATGCTGGACTTCTTAATTCAATGTAGATGCTGTTTAGAACATATCCTCAGTTTCACATAAGATGGAATACAGAGTGTGAGCATCACAAACTTCTGCAGTGCATCAGGCTGTAACGCATTACTTCTTTGTACGGTCCTCGACTTGCGATGTACTACTGCATAACGGATCTTCATTTCATGTTGTGCTGATTCTTTTGCTCTCCCTCTGCATCCAATAACCCAGCCCATCCCCTAGAGCGGATCCACGTCCGACTGCAATCTGTAGGTCACATTGGAGTGATGTGCATCACTGACATCCAGTCGCAACATCACAACGACACCTCATTGCAAACAAGATCAACAAACATCTGGTTGCATACTTCGGTTAGGATGGGCGAAGAATGTTATACTTTGTTTTAGTTCGGTTGTACTCTTTATTGGGAATGAAGCGAAGCAGATCAGGTCGGATTTGATTGATACCCATTGCATGAGGCACCACTACGAATCGCGCCCGAATCAATGCCAATGTGGCGGTGATCCTTGGCCTCACTTGATCAAGATTCGCGAAATCAACACTTAGCTCAAACCATTCGTTCGTAAAGGATGTGGTAACTACTATCCCGCCTATTTTCGCCAGTCGCCTCCTCCCCACTCAATCGTCGCCCACCATTCGCGAATTGACATTCCTCGCCTCCTTCTCGCCCCTCACACCATCCACAAGGAAGCTCCAGACAGTTCCAGCCTCCTCGCCCCTTCGGGCTTTGATTGGTCCTCAGGCAGCTACTGCGCAGCGAGGTTTACCGTTTTTAGTCCCCTGGCTTTTCAGTTCTGAGTATTTAATTACGTGACGTAGCTGCCTTCTTCACCACGAACAACCCTCAGTCGCGTTTATTAAGCTCCTTCTGCCAGCCGCGAATCCAGCGAAGGGCGTAAAGTGTTTCAGCTAGATAGTGAACATATATCTACTTTCACACGCTTAGAAGAAGTAACACGGCCATGGTTTTCTCAGAATCAGAGACCGCGTGCACTGCAACTATGACGGTCCGCGCGACGCGATCCCAATCCCACACCACGTGCTCAGGACGCAAGCGGAAGAATGCAGCCGTTAGTACTGAGTCCGAATCACCACGTTTCCGTTCCGAAAAAATGCTACGTTTGTGCGACTCGTCCAGCGACTGTGCTCGACCGGCGACCAATATCTCCACCCGATCCGCGTCGTCGACTTTTCTCGAGCGCGACGAGCGCAGGCCATTCGCGGACAATGTGTTTGGGCCGTCCGTACATTGTATCGAGACATCTTTTGAGGTGGACTCCGAAATAATCGGCTCGGGACAATTCGGTACAGTTCGCCGCTGCGTACACCGTGAAACCGGGTTACCCTTCGCATGCAAGTCCATCTCGAAGCTTCAACTCTTGTCGGAGGACGCGCGGGACAAGCTTCGGCGGGAGGTTCGCACGATGCAGAAAGTCGCGGACCACCCATGCGTGGTGCAGCTTCGCGGAGTTTTCGAGGACGCAGATTCAGTGCACCTGGTCATGGATCTGTGCGGCGCGGGCGAGCTTTTCGGCGTGATCGCCCAACGCGGCTCGTTGACAGAGGAAGAAGCGGCGCTGGTCCTCTGGCAGCTCGCATCTGGTGTCGAGTTCTGCCACTCGCGTGGCGTGCTGCACCGCGACTTGAAACCGGAGAATATTCTTCTAAGCCTGGAAAGCTTTCCCAATAACTCAGCTTTCTCACGCGAGAATGGAGCTTGTAACGGAGCCGACTGTAACGAGGGCGACGCCGACTTCCTCGCTGTCAGAATCGCGGATTTTGGGCTCGCGATCGAGCTGGAAGCACACCAAGTAGCTCGCGGCGCCGCGGGATCTCCAATATACGTTGCTCCCGAAGTCCTAACAGGCGAATACGGTTACCCGGCGGATGTCTGGTCGCTGGGTGTTCTTCTCTTCGTCATGCTAAGCGGTCGCCCTCCTTTTTGGGGAAACTCAAACCTGGAAATTTTCGAGGCGATCCTGCACGCGCATGTTAGCTTCCCTGGCGGTTCCTGGGAAGGAGTGTCTGCAGAAGCGAAGATGCTTATAATGTGTATGCTTCAAAAGGACCCCGCGCGCCGACCGTCCGCTGCGAAGGTGCTGACTCACCCCTGGGTGCAGCGGCACTTGCGGGGAGAGGACCTTATGGGTTTTGGAAGAACTGGTTTGGGAGGATGCACGGGTACTCGCTTGGAGCAGGTCTGCTTATAGTGTGGGTACATTCCGGCAGATAGCATGCATTTTCTGTACATAGTATCTTTTTAAATCAAGGGTGAGAGCAATACGACCCACATGTGGAATACATTGGACGTTCACACAGAAATGAAATACCACAGAAAGTGCTACGTAATACACAGGCACAGATCTTGCCATAAAACCGGACACACAATCTATATCATATTAGCACACACAAACTTGGGGATACAACCAGCTGCGATCGTGATAAGACTGACAGTTAGTTCCTCGAGCAGATTATACTGTATCTACAAGTCATCAGATTCCACAAATAGACAACTCAAGCTCGACATGTTTACACCCCGACCTCAAAATTCTCTAAGCAACTGTTGCTGTGGCAACCATACTTGGTTCCACAGTCCCCCCATCACTCCCCCCTGCTTCCCCCACCCCCTCTTCTCCATTCAATTCGCCCTTTCCTACAGCACCCACACCTTCTACCACACTCTCTCTCCCCTGCTCCAAACCTACCTCTACTCCTCCCTCCTCTCCCTCCCCTCCAACCCTCACCTCTCCCCCTCCCTCACGACTCTTCACCGAACCCTCCCCCGCCCCTTCCCCCTCCGCTTCTCCCCCTTCTCCTGTACCACCCCCCTTGCGCCCCCCCTGTTTCTTCCCCAGCATTCCCGCCCCTACCATCCCCCCTGCCGACACCGCCCGACCAAACAGCCACGCCCACGCCTCCACTGTTGTTTGCACCGGTCCTGGCGCCTTGCGAGAACGCGGGGAGGGCGACGGAGATGGGGAGAGAGAGTGTGTGTGGGTGGGCACGTGGGTGGAAGTGGATGGGGAGGTGAGTTGAGTTTGTTGGGCTTGTTGGGTTTGTTGGGCTAGTAGGTTGGTTGGGCTTGCGAGGTGGGGTGATGGTTCTGGCCCCTCTGCATGCCCCTCTGCATGCCCCTCTGAAGGGTCGGGTGGAAGGACTAGAGGAGCCGACTTTGGTGGCCCTTTTCTTGTGCGAGCTATTGCTGCTGCTGGTGGTGGTGGTGGTGGTATTTCTGCCGCTGTTGCGACTGGTACCCCTGCTTTTGTCTCCTCCTCAGCTCCTCCTACCCCATCTCTACTTACATCACCCCTCTCCTCTCCCTCTGCTCCCTTACTCCCCTCGTAGCCCTCCCCACTCTCTCCGACCAGTCCTGGCCCCTTCACGTTCTCCCCATCATTCAGGCTGTATCGGCGCTTGTGCTTCTGCTTCTGCTGCTGCTCCTCTTCCAGCTGCTTTTGTTCCTGATGCTGCCCTTCCTTCTGTTCCTGCTCCTGCTCCTTCTCCTGCTTCATCTGCTCCTTTCCCTGCCCCTGTTCCTGCTCACGCTCCTGCTGATGCTGCTTCTGCTTGGCAGCTGCAACAGCAGCGGCCAGCCTCTTGGGCCCTATAACGCGGATGGAGTGAGCCGCCAGCCTGTGAGCACGCTGGGCCGCACCTATCGACTGGTTGATAAACTGGAACGAGCCTGTTCCCGAACCTGACGCTGAACCTGATCCCGAGCCACTGTTTGGGCTGTGGCTGCTGCTGCTGGTGCCTGTGCTGAGGTGGCTGTGTCGCCCGGGAGTGGTGGACGCGGAGAGAGGGGAGGAGTGTGAGATCGGGGAACGGATGGGGGATCGTGTGGGCGGCGTGAGAGGGAGGCGCGAATCGGAAGAGTGTGATAAAGAGGAGGGGTATGAGGGGGTGGATGGGGAGGGGGAAGGCGAGGTGGAGAGCGATGGGAGGCCAAGGCCTAGCCCAAGACCTAGGACTTTTTTCTCCCTGGGCTCCCGAGGCTGCCCTTCTCCTCTGCTATGACTTTCCTCTGCTTTCTTCTCCTTCTTCTCCCTTTTCTCCCTTTTCTCCTTCTGCTCCTTATCCCCCTTATCGCGCGGCTCTTTCTGCTGCGATTTGTGCTTGTCCATAAGATGCTCCTTAAAGGTCTTATACTCTCGAAACTCGCCTCCTCCTCCCGTTGCCGAACCAGTCGTCGACGCGCTTCGGAAAACACCGAACCTCCTTCGAGCTCTCCCTGCTCCACCCGAGCCATCTGCCGGACCTTCCGCCGAGCCTGATACCGGACCAGAATTCCCCGATGCTGCTGTGAAACCTGTGTTAGCATCGGCTGCGTCATAATCAGGCGAATCTACAGTATCCCCAGTAGTGCAAAAAACAGGAAACGGAGGGCCCTTTATAGTCACTAAAACCCCTCTTCTCCCATCATTACTGTCTGATTTGGGAATACGTGGGTGGTACTCTTTCTCCCCCCTGCCTGACCCCATTGCAGGCTCGGAAACAGGCTCGGAAGGGTGTTCCGAAGCTGGTTCGGATGGAGGTTCGGAAACAGGTTCGGACTCAGGTTCGGAAGGAGGAGGGGCTGGGTAGTCCTCCTTGGCTTGCGGCTGACGTGGCGAGACTGGAGTGCCAAGTGGATGGGCCCTATCAGAGGCTGTCGCTGCTGATTGGCTGGAAGCTGCTACAGCCGCTACAGATGCAGCTGTACCAGCTGCGTGAGAGGACTCAGCTACAGGCGAAACTCCATCAGTAGGGATGCTAAGAGCAGGAGGGTGAGCGGAACGAGGGTCAGCGGAAGGCGGGTTGGTGGAGAGAGAGGGAGTGGGCGCGAGTGTGGGGTCGCGTGGCAGAGCGGACGTAGCAGAGGTTTGCGATGGCTCAAAAGGCTCGGAAAGCAATGGCTCGGAAGGCAAAGGCTCGGAAGACATAGGCTCGGAAGGCAAAGGCTCGGAAGGCATAGGCTTGGAAGACAAGGGCATGGGTGAGGAGGAGGTTGAGGTGGACTTTCTGGGGAACCAACGCATGAACCGCCCCATCCTTGTGCCGCCGCCGCCGCCGCCGCCGCTGTTGCTGTTGCTGTTGCTGGCGCTGGCGCTGATGCCGGTGGTGCTGCCAGTGGTGGTGGTGGAGCGAGCTGCGATTCCGTCCGTGCTGCTGCTGCGATTCATGGCATAGCGTGGATTGGCCTCGGCAGTGGCTGTGTCAAGATCAGCAGCAGCAGCAGCAGCAGCAGCAGCAGTAGCATCAGTACCAGCATCAGCAGGAGCTATACCATTCTCACCGCCACCGGCGCTGTTGCTGCTGCTCCGCCCGCTCACCCCCCCCACCTCTTCGCCCAGACCCTCCGCCCACCCCCCAGTTCCGCCTCCCCCTTCACTCTTCCGCCGCCTGCGCCACCCTGCTTTCTCCCCTTCCCCCTGCGCCCCCTTTCCCGCGGACACCCCGTGACTGGGGGACCTTGGGGGCGTTACGGGGAAGGGAAGGGTCTGGGAGCGGGGGGCGGTGGGGGAGTGAGGGGGCGTTGGGGAGCGGGGGGGCGTGGGGGTGGAACGGGGGGGAGTGGGGGAGGAGCGCGGGGGGGTGCGGGCGGAACGAGGGGGAGTGAGAGCTCGGCGCAGCATGCGGGACGGGGAAGGCGCTCGCCCAGAGAAGCGGCTCCAGATACTCGACTGCTGTGACTGTTGTGACTGCTGCTGCTGCTGCTGCTGCTGCTGCTGCTGCTGCTGCTGCTGCTGCTGCTGCTGCTGCTGCTGCTGCTGCTGCTGCTGCTGCTGCTGCTGCTGCTGCTGCTGCTTCTGCGGCTGAAGCTCCAACTGTGCGTCGCCCAACGAATCAGCTCCCAGTATTTCCACCTCCAGCCCCTCAGAACCTTCTTGCCCCTGCTGTCCCTGTCCCTGTCCCTGTCCCTGTTCTTGCTGCCCCTGCTGCCCCTGCTGGTGCCCCTGCTCCTGCTCCTGTTTCGTGTCATCCGAGTAGGAGAACGAACCCGAAGGGCCCAACTCAGCACCTTCCCCCTCTTGCCCCTGCCCCTGCCTCTGTTCCTGCTCCCCCTGCCCCTGCCCTTGCTCCCCCGACTGCTGCTGCTGCTGCTCACTCTTGTTTCCCACCTCGCTCTGCTTTCTCTCCTCACTCATCCCCGCTACTAGCCCCCCCCCCAGCCCGCCGCCGGCGCGCTGTTTCTCCTTAATCCGCGTCTCCCGCCACCGACCAATGTCGGGGGACGCGCACTCCGCCGCCGCCGCCGCCGCCGCCGCGGCCGAACCTCCCGCTGCCTCGGCCATCAGCGGGGTGCCGAGCCACGGCGGGAGGTTCGGGGCCAGGCTCGGGAGTTCCCGGACCCCGACCGAGATGTCTACTGACTGGCTGTCTCGTGCTGCAGCTGCTAATGTCATTGGTGCGGTTGCTGCTGCTGCTGCTGCTGCTGCTGCTGCTGCTGCTGCTGCTGCTGCTGCTGCTGCTGCTGCTGTTGCTGTTGCTGTTGCTACAATTATTTTCTCCCCTCCTTCACCCCTTTCTGCTCCAACCCTAGTTTCCTCATACGTAACGCCCTCCGGCTTCTCGCCCCCCCCTTCCCCGCTCCCCTCATCCGCCGTCGCCCCTTCCGCCCCGCCTTCCTGCCCCTTCTTCTCCCTCCTCTCCCTCTCCTCCTTCCTTCTCTCCCGCTCTCTCCGCCTCCTCGCCACTCCCGCCGCTTCGTCTTCATCCTCGCTACTACTATCTCCATCACTCCCCGGCAGAGGCGGCGGCTCCTGAACGGAAGTAAAGTACGCATCGGGCGCGTCGGGATAGGGATCTAAGGAGGGTAGGCCACTACCCGCCACGCCACGATAGCGCGCTGACGTGGATGCCATGGATTGGCTGATGGCTTCGAGAATCTCGCCCGACAGTTCTTTCGGAGCGGGTTTATGGACGTCCTTAAACACGTCGCCGTCGCCAACGGTCGTGTCTGACGTGGCACGCGACGTCGACGTGGCAAGCGACGACGACGTGGCTGACAAGATCCCTGTTTCCGCGTCGCCATCGTCCGAGCTTTCCGCTATACCAGAGGAACCTTCTGAGGTGCTGATGAGGCTGCTACCAACGAGGATTTCGTTACTAGCATCCCCGCTTGCTGAGAGAATCTCCTTGTAAAAGGCTCTGTGCAGGATGGCGAGTAGCGAACAAGCCTGGTCTTTCGCGAACGGGTGGTAACCGATGAGGTAGCAGACAAGGCCGGACGACCATCGCTGGAACAAGACCAAGAGGGTCCCGTGACCCTGCGAGCAGGAAATTGACCGAAAAAATAAATAAAATCAACAAACGGAGGAAGGTGAGGGATGGATAGCCTCCTCTCTCACGTAAAGGAGTTTGGCAGGGAAGGAAAAAAGAAAGCCAATCCGATGCTTTACCGAATGGAATAAAAGGTAATAATAATGAAAAAGCATTACAAACTTTACCAAAGGGTTTACCGACGAACACAGATGTTGAGAAAAGAAAAGATAAAGAAAGGAAAGTTGATCGTATCGTCGTTTATATTTAGAATCTATGCCTATGAACACCAAGCAGGCTTACCATTCGAGTCCCATCAAAACGCCTGAGTCTCGCATTGTAACGCAAACTAAAAGAGTAGCACGTTTGACTCCAGCCATGCACCAAAGGAAACCCGTGTTTCGAGGGTCAACAGAATCGCGGGTATAAAGACGACCTTTGAGATACCTCACAAGTCATTATGAGGGTCCACCAAATCAAGCCACGTACCAGAGAATACTGGGAGACATGCGCAGGAATGGCGGAAAATGCGCTACACATAGGATCTCGAAAGACGTCAGCTTCCCTGCCATACTCCGCTATAATCGCGCCGTCCTTCGCGATACCTATGTACGAAATCAGTTCCACCTCCTCCATGTCTCTCTGTCAATAACTTTTTGTCCTCAGATGGAACAACTGCCATCAACCGTAATTTACAAAAAAACGTTTGCCACCTAGAGTAAAACTCTCACCTAAGGGCGCGTAACCATTTTGCACCCGACGGCTCGAGCTGCGGACGGTCCGTCGTGGCGAAATGTAACTAGATTCGCTGATTATCGTTTAGGTCTTCGCGGAGGTGTTGGCGACGTCGCCAACCTAACGGACTGTCGTGACACTTTTTCACATTTCCAACACTCCGCTTTGTGAACCGTGGACTGTCCGAAACCCAAACGGACGGTCCACCATTTCTGGCTAGGTATTGGTGGGCGAATTTTAATGTACAGTAAATCATACCGATTCGCCAACGAAGCTAATACCGTAAATGTCGCGAGGTAAGTTACGAATATACAAGGCCTGTTATGAATGAACTTGCAGAGTGCGCAGTAAAACGAATAACGAGAATGACTGATCACTGAATTACTGAATGACGAGGTACAATGAGAAAGGTACGACTAAATAGGGGAAGTCCTAGCTAGGCGGAGAGGTTGGGCGAGGATGGCTCGGTGATGGTTGCGATTGGAGCGGAGGCGACTCGGGAGTGGTTCGGTGCGACGAAATAGGAAGGACAGGTTCGTCGCGTGACCCTCGGGATGGCCTCGCTAACGAGTGCCTCAGTAAGGATTCTGTAAATCCTTACAAGGCCTCTAACGAGGCTACAGTGGTCGCAAAAATCAACAACACCAAAAAAGTGTCACATTAGCCTTTGGACAGTCCGAAGTTGCAAAATTTTGATTCGGACGGTCCCGTTTTCGAGAATAGAACCGTCCGCTTCGTTCTAAGCGGACTGTCCGTCGAAAACGTAAAATGCAAAATGGTTACGCGCCCTAACATCAGTTATCGTTGGAGACAACCAGCCCTGCTCTCAATGAAGTAGACATGATGCCCAGCCACTGCGCGTGAATTTGCCTTTCCCTTTTCAGAAACTCTGCACTCGTGCTTTTTTTCCCAGTCAGTTGCACCGAGGGTATATGCACGCGGATCAACTTGCATATGGGCGAGAAAACGCCAAAGTATGAATCCTAGGCGCAAAACAAACCATGCTGACCCGGGTTGTTCTTGTTTCTTGGCCAGAAACAGACATAAACCCTAAACCCTGAACTAACAACAACACAGGCCCACCAACATTGTTTTGGAAAAAACAAACGAGTTACAACCTGTGTTTTTTAGAAGCACATCAACACCCTGGCGAAATAAAACGAACTGGGCGAAATGTTCAAAATGTTTATAAGCCCAGAGCACAACCCAAGTAGGGAGAACTCAAACGAGCATCAGGTGTACTGTAAGAGCAAGCGAAGAGCCAGCAGCAGGCCGTAGTATGACAACAGAGCTGCTATAAGCCACAGATACGCTCCCAACACACGCTTGTGGATAAGGTGGAGGAACCATCACAAAAGCAACTTCCACGAGCAGAGACCTTCAAAATGGAGGAATTTACCCTTGTCGCAAAATGCCTTTGCAGTGCGTACACCCTGTTTCGTGCCACACTGACATCCGCCATATGAACCCATCGCTTTGTGTGACTGCACCAATCCCAGAATGGTGCTAGCACATTGTGTTCACGCACAATCAGCTCTGCCAACTTGGTTGTGACTGCCCTTGACTTTGACCGGCCAGAAAGTGAGGCTGCATCTGGACAGCCGTGAACACGTACGAAATCGTAGCAAACCCAGCAGCTGAGGTGTCGAAAATCCACATGCAACGCCAGAGACTGGTCCATTCAATTTTGTCAAACGTTATTATCCCACTGATGCATCCGTGCCACGTGTGGTAATCCACAACGCCAGCCTGCTACGTCAAACCCGAAATGTAAACTCGGAAATTGAAATCGGAGAAATCCGTCGCAATTCCAATCCATTCGACAATGGCGACTCGGCATGCGACATTGAACACCGATAAGAATTGAGCGACTCTTACACTGCAACAGCCAGAGAGGCTTGCGCCACACAATGGCTCGCGTTTCTCTCACTCGCTACATGAAACGGGCAATCTGTCTGCATCAGCAAGCCAACAAGACACTAACGCACGAGGACCTTTGCGAGTGGACTGCAAAGAAATTCAATGTCGTACCATCGCGCACAACCATAACCAGGGTGTTGCAAGTCAAGGCAGAATGGCTGCAGGATCGGGGAGATGAGAACGCCAACGAGCGACGCGTTCGCAAGGCACTCTACCCTGGTTTAGAGCTGCGTTTATGCTGCTGGATTAATTCAGCAGCTGCTGAGGGCTTACCATTGACTCTCGCAGTAATTCAACTCCGCGCCAAGCAGCTTGCACGAGAGATGCCCGACATCCCTCCATCCTTCAAGTGTTCTATCGGATGGGTGGTGCGGACACTTAAGAGGATGGGCCTGAAATGTCTCATGCGCAAGGGAGAAGCAGGATCTGCTGATATGGAAGCAGTTGATGCGTGCCGTGAGAAGCTGCCACAACTTCTACTCCGGCTTCGAATCACTCTAGAAGATTGCTACAACTTTGACGAAACTGCTCTCTACCCGGCTCAAATTCCACGACGGACTCATGCACGTGAAACGCTTGCAGGCGGCAAGGGTTGCAAGGAACGCCTCACCGTTGCACTGCTGTGCAATGCAGACGGCTCCGACATGTGGAGGCCTCTTGTGATAGCAAAAGTGCAGAGGCCTAGGGATTTTGGTCGCGATTTCAACGTCGAATACCATGTGAAATGGAGGTGGAATCGTAAAGGCTGGATGAACACTGAGGTGAGCCCCTTCAAATATATGGATTCGCATTCCGCTCTTTACATACGCATTTTGCATCCGTGCGGTGATTATGTCGTACAACTACTGCTAATTCACGTGTCATTTTGTGCCCCCCAGCCCTTCAGGACATTCATGGAGAACGTCAACACGACATGCTACGCTCAGGGACGCCAAATTGTCGTGCTCATGGATAATGCATCGTGTCAAACTTATATGCTATGGTCTGTGTAGACTGTAGTGGGGTAGACAATATGGGGTACAACACTTTTAGGTTTTCCTACTTGTACCCACCTGTTTCCTAGTGCACACATTCCTCGTTCTTTCACATGGTATAGAGCAGGTTCCCTAGTGGGAACGTTTCCTAGGGCCCACCGAATATCGATTTTTTTTCCTACCCGGAGCGCGCTTCGCCCCTGCCCAAGTCGCGCCCCGTGTGCCTACCCTCCCGTCGCGTCCCCTGCCCTTAGTGGCCCGTCGCGCTCCCTTATGGCCCCGTAGCGGCCCCTCTCACGGCCTCTCACGGCCCCTTCACGGCCCCTTCGCGGCACCTTCGCGGCCCCCTCGCGGACCCTTCGCGGCCCCTTCGCGGCCCCTTCACGGCCCCTTCGCGGCCCCTTCGCGGCCCCTTCACAGCCCCCTCGCGGCCCCCTTGCGGCTCCCTTCGCGGCCCCTTCGCGGCCCCGCCCCGCTGCCCGTAGCGGCCCCGCCCTGTCGCCAGTCGCGGCCCCGCCCCGTCGCCAGTCACGGCCCCGCCCCGTTGCCGGTCGCGGCCCCGCCGCGTCGCCCCCGCCTCGTCGCGTCGCCCCTGCGGGACCCGCGAGGCGCGCTCCTGTGCGTCGCGACGCCCCTACTGGACCCGCGTGGCGTCACCCCTACCCGCCGCGGCGCCCTACCCTAACCCGCGCCCTGGAGCAGCCGCCACTGCAGCAGCTGCCCCTGGAGCAGCCGCCACTGCAGCAGCCGCCCCTGGAGCAGCCTCCTCTGCAGCAGCCGCCCCTGGAGCAGCCGCCCCTGAAGCAGCCGCCCCTGGAGCAACCGCCGCTGCAGCAGCCGCCCCTGGAGCAGCCACCCCTGCAGCAGCCGCCCCTAGAGCAGCCGCCCCTGCAGCAGCCGCCCCTGGAGCAGCCGCCACTGCAGCAGCCGCCCCTGGAGCAGCCTCCCCTGCAGCAGCCGCCCCTGAAACAGCC